ATTACTTAAAGTCTGAAAGATTTGCCATTTTTAACCTTTTTTTTTTTGCTTACAAAACTCCCATGAACAATATACACAAATTTTAACTTTGTAACTTTGCTAAAATTTGCATTTCAGACATTATAAGAAAGCCCAAAGTAATTCCAAATGCATATTTCATCAGTACAAGCGTAAAAATGTTAAGGCACAAATTTGTAAAGAAATCTTTTGCCTGTACCAGTTCACAAAACTATAGACTAAATGATTTTTTTTCACAAAACAGATTGACTGATGTAGCCCAATTTGTGAATGAAGCAGCCAGTTTTGTGAAAATAGTTCAGCAGAATAATTGTCTACTGTATAGTAGAAAAATATGCAAATTCAGATACAACCAATGTTAATACTTAAGTAATGATGTAGAAAAGAATCACTGCACTGAACTAGGTTGATTCAGTGCAATTCCTGAACAAATCATTTAGTCCAGATTTGTGAACTGGTTCAGCAGATTCATTAAAAAATTTACTAAAAGGATTATTGGTTTACTAATTAGCCATTGCTACTGAACGCATGGCAGGACAAGCTTGCAATCAGCAATCAGGATAAATGCTCAGATTTGGAAAACTGTCATTTTTAAATTGATGCTAAAATATATGCAAGACATTACCAGTCCAATTTAGCCTAAATGTGTGAACTACTCAGACTCTTGAGGAGAAATGAAAATGCTCCCTAGAGCTATAGAGGTAAGGGCCAGAATCTGAGTAAACACATTTAGCATGTCTCAAAAACCTCTTGCAGATCATGTGCTAATTGCTGCAATAAGGAATCAAGAGGGCATGAAGAACCCAGACAGCATCTTTCAATAATGTAATTAGATGCAGAGAAATTAGCAAGTTTTAAGGCTGCATAATTACCTACACATTGCAAAAGATACCTTTCCTAGCTCTTTTAGGTTCTCTTGCCCTTCATCTTACTCTGGAGAGGCCAAAGACTCCCCAAACCAAAACTGGACCGTTTTATGCTTTCATGGCTTGTCAACCTCCATCAGGACTAAGATCTATACCCATGTGACCGATGTACTCCCAGACCTGGAGAGTTTGAACAACACAAGTCAACGCTGACAAGCTCTATTCACTCACACATCAGTAAACCCCTTCAGACCAGATTCAACCATACTAACTCCATCAGAGCTAAGAAACCATAGTGTCTAAACCATAGTGTACTTGCCCCCAACTCGGACCACCCAGATCAAGATCACGCAAGAATATGCCAGAGTTATTAATGTGAATTAAAATTATGAATTATTCATGCAACAAACTATTGTTGAAACCACAAACAATAAATCATGTTATTTACAGATTTTCAGCTTGAAACTCTCTCATCACAATATCTTGCAACACATTCAAAGTCAGATCAAATGTCACAATGAATGATGGAGGAACATAGCTGCTTGAATTTTGACTTGTGCCCTGTTCACACATACAGAGAATTTATCACTGGAGGTCAGCAGGTCACTGTATTATTGACTCCTTTTTGTAATACATTATTGATGGGCTGTATTATTGGCCATAGTTTTTTTTTTTTTTTGATTGTAAAAGACATTATTATTGCAAATAATTAGTCTTTTTTATTATATATATATATATATATATACACACACACACACACACACACACACACTGTATAAATTATTATTATAAAATTTTTTTTTTTTTGCTGCAGGGAAAGTATTTGTGAATGAATTGCAATGCTAGTGCTGTTGGTACAACAAACATGCGCTGTTTATAAAGTAGTGTTTTTCAAACTTTTAAAGAAAACATTTGTTCAAAGTGTCAGGAGCTGAATTGAGATGGTGTGAATGTGTTCTCTGAAGGAGTCTGACAAAAGGTCTTATCTTTTTATCTTTAGTTTAAAAGGAAAGTGAAAGTAGCAATACACATTTTTTTCTTTGCCTGTAGGGCTGTTCCCGCCTCGCCCAAACTGCTGAGATCGATGAAAGGGCACAGGAGCAGACTGAGGCTGCCATTTTCATTCCAAAACCTTCTACCTGTCTGAAAAGCTGCTTTTTGCACAAAAACCCAGTGTGTAACAGCGGGATTCTTGCAAAAAGGCTTCCTTTGCAAGTGCATTATTGGTTTTTTTTCCCTTCCCCAACCACATGTTAAAATTGTCGGCCTTTGTTTAATGTCAGCGCAAACGGAGTCAAATTGAAATGTCAGAGGAAGATGAGACTAAAAAGGAAAATGAGACAGAGCAGACATGCTGAACGTCAGTGTAAAAGGTTGGAACACACTGCTACCTCATTTAGCCTGCAAGCTTTACTTTTACTCAGAATCTTTCAATATGTGTCCTTTCTTGTGACATAAGAGATGTCTTAGCCTTCAGTAGGGAGTTTGTATTTTATAACCAAAAACTCAAAGCTTTTATCTAAACTGGGAGCACTAATTTATTCTCTATTGGGATAGAAATATGACAAAATGTTTCTACAAAGAGCCTAGAAATATAATCTAGGAGCAAAAGCCCCAAATAAGAAAAGAAGGCCTTTGGCCCACATGTTGTTCTTTTGAATTTTCTACTCATCAAATAAATAAACAAACAAACAAACAAACAAACAAACAAACAAATAAATAAATAAATAAATAAATGTATCACAGTCCACAAAAATATTAACCAGGAGAACTGTTTTCAATATGGATAATAATAAATATTTCTTGAGCAGCAAATCAGCACATTAGAATGATTTCTGTAGGATCATGTGACACTGAACACTGGAGTAATGGCTGTTTTGTCATCAGACAAAATCAAAATAGTTATTTAAAGTTATTTTAAATTGTAATACTGTTTCACAAAATTACTGTTTTAACTGTATTTTTGATTTAATGAATGCAACCTTGGGGAGCATAAAACATCTTTAAAAACATTAACATTAAAAAATTAAATAAAGTATGCATACATATAACAAGACCAGTGGACTGTCTCAGTTCAGTGAGGTCAGTCATGTCCACCTCTTCAACATCAAACATCTTTCATTGGCTTGATCACTATAGGCAGTCCATTGAGTCTGGGCATTCATCTACTTTAGCAATATAACTTAGTTTCCAGCCTGACACAAATTCTCTATAACAAATGTTACTTGCATCTTGAATCATGCAGTTAATTAGTGTGCCTCAGTTTCTCTTCAGCAAATATGTTAATGAGTGCACGAAAGAGGAAAATCTTACTCAGGCTGTCACTGTTCAATGGCTTACTGAAAAATATGAGTGTAGACTTCAATTAGAGCTTAATTAGGATCCATTCACCTTTACAGTGACTGCAAGATCTGACTTTCTAACAGTGGGTTGTCAGAGTCACAGTCCATTTCAGAGACCTCTGACCCTGTGGATTGGACTAATGGAGAAATGTAGCTTCATTACATGACATGCCAACAGTCTGAACTTGCCATGAAGAGCAGGACTGGGATCCAAGTACCAGTTCTGGATAAGATATAACATTTTTTTTTATGGAACCTGATTTTCGTGATGTTTGGTTCTATTCACTAGGCCTACATACTTCCACCTGTGCAGATGAAAAATGTGAAAGTCTGTTTCATGTTTCATGTTTTTTAAGAGACCTTCAAAATAACTGAATACTGGTAAAACATCTACTATAATATAATGAATGTGCAATTTATATGTGGTTTGCAAAAACAATAAAACAAAACAAAACAAAAACACATTATTGTAAGAATACAGACTTTGGAATGGACGTCAATGCAGAAAGATGTTTTTGCATCCAGAGGGTGTAGTTACAGCATCTTGATAACTAGACTATGCTAACCGGCCAAATCTTGACCCACTGGTGGCACTATGCCACTACTGACTAATTAAATATAATGAGAGAAAAAGACTGGGTGCTGCAAAATAATATAAACACAAGAAACAGACAACATATCTTCCTATTGTTAAGTCCTCTGTAGTTGCATGCAACAACAAACATACATTATGACCAGCGCAGATTGATTTGTGAACAACTGAAGGAATAGTTCGTCCAAAAATGAAAATTTGCTATTTATTTACTCACCCTCAGGCCAATTTAGCTGATGAATGATTGTTTTGTTAGATAAGACCCCAATATATTATCAGGAGACGTGGGTATTCATTTTGTGTTTCCTGTACCTGCTTTTTTGACTCTCATGGAACCCAAGTGATGGAACTCATTGACTTGCATTTTATGAATCAAAAAGGAGCATAGATTCAGCTTAAAATCATCTTTAGTGTTCTTCTAAAGGAAAAAAAAGTCACATATCTTGGATGGCAAGAGGGTGAGTAAATAAACAGCAAATTTTTATTTTTGGGTGAACCATTCCTTTAATTCATTGACTAGATCAGTGGTTCTCAACGTACTCACTGAACTGAAAGTCGTTACTTTCATCAAGTCAAATTGGAAGCACAACTAGAAACATTAAATTCTTAATGTTCTTAATTAAGATTCTTAATTCTTAAGAGTCTAAAGTCCCATTCTTAATCAAAAAGAGACTATTCTTCTTCCACTAGGAATGAACAAATATCCAAATGACATGAAACTATTGCACAATGAAATTAAAAAATGCTCATGCCTGTAACCACGACTGAAATTGTGCTCAGAGTTTCTTCATTAAAATACTGCAATTATCCATTGTGCTATTAACAAATGACACTGAAAATAAGTGTCACAGTTACTAAAGGTGCATCCAGCCCTGATGGTGCTAATTATACAGCTGAAAGTTTCTCCCAGCTTTGTTCACTTTCATGTCTTAAACATCATTTTAACTAGGGATGCACCGATACCGATACTGGTATCGGTATCGGGCCCGATACTGGTCTCCTGTACTCGTACTCGTACTCGTGTTTCTGTACCCAATATTTAAAAAATGTACAAATGCAATAAAAATATTGGTATCGGTACTCGGTATCGGCAAGTACCAAAAATAAAAGTATCGGTATCGGGCGAGTACTGGAAAAAGTGGTATCGGTGCATCCCTAATTTTAACAAAACCCAACACTCACCAAAAGCTGTGTAGAACTCCTCTCTGGTTAGGTGTTCGTCATCATTGACGTCATTATATTTGAACAGATCGAACAGAGTGCATTCTGATGCCGTCCTGCTCAGACCTTCCTGCTTGATGACCTGCACGACAACAAGATTAAAGATCATTCAATTTAAAGCAGAACCTACTGTATGATGTTTCAACAAAGCAAATGTGTTTGGTGTGCTGAACCAGTGCTGTACCATTCTGAATAATTAAAGATGATTCCTATCTGAAAGTGAAAAGTGACGTGACATGTGGCCAAGTATGGTGACCCATACTCGGAATTAGTGCTCTGCATTTATCCCATCCAAAGTGCACACACACAGCAGTGAACACACACCCGGAGCAGTGGGCAGCCATTTTTTTTGCTGCAGCGCCCGGGGAGCAGTTGGGGGTTCGGTGCCTTGCTCAAGGGCACCTCAGTCGTGGTATTGAAGGTGAGAGAGAGCGCTGTACATTCACTCCCCCCACCTACAATCCCTGCCGGTACGAGACTCGAACCCGCAACTTTTTGGGTTACGAGTCCGACTCTCTAACCATTAGGCCACGACTTCCCCCCCATCAGCAATCTGCATCAGACATTGTGAATCCTGTCAGCTGGCAAACATCCAGAACTGAGCAAGATTTTATAACAGCCTTATGCTGGAAAACATGAGAGATTACTGTAAAACGTTCCATCATACATTCATCTGATGGTAATTACAGTTAGTGAAAGAAAGCTGGAGGGTTTGTTATTATGAATGTTAGGGGTTAGATTCACTGTGGTTTACAGTTGAGATTTTGAAAATATCTTTAGCATATGCATATGAACAATCAAAATTAACTTATGAAATAAATGATATATCCACACAATACAGACATGATCTTAGGACCATCTCCTTAAAGCTTTTTCATAGCCAGTGCTAAGGTTGACCTGAACTAGCCTATATTATTACTAAAACCAGACCTGTGTGTTCAGATTCAATCCTGTCCTTGTATTATCTGTTGCAAACTCTAATCCTCTTATAGAGACTTGATACCAGCTCGGAAACTGACAGGCAACCTTCACTTTGACCTCATTAGCTATGCAGTTTTGATTAACCATATATTTTGAAGACAAAACAAGCAAGCAAGAAAGTAAACTTTCAAATGCTGACATTTTCAATGTACCAGTCTGATCTGCATACCGCATGCTACAGGGAATGCCAAAATAGTTTTCCATAATGAATGACTCTACACAACCTATCCACCGTGCTAAATGAAAATCTCGGCTTTAGGCACATGCTTAATTTTTACACTTCTAACACAAAATTGGCTGGGACAAGTGAAGTTTGAGCATCATTTGTTTGAAGTTTGATATTTTGCATCTTAAGCAGTGATGCACACATTTTAAAGAGTGTCTTAAGCAGACAAATATGTAATATTTGTATTTTATATTAAAATATATGTATTTTAAGGCTTGGTATTTATCTTGTATTAAAGGAATAGTTCACCCAAAAATGAAAATATTTACTGACTCTCAGGCCATCCACGATTTTTATGAGTTTGTTTCTTCGTCTGAAGTTATTTGGGGAAATTTTGCTTTACATCACTTGCTCACTTATGGATCCTGTGCAGCGAATGGGATGTGATCAGATTGAGAGTTTAAATAGCTGATAAAAGCATCACAATAATCCACTCGAGTCCATCAATTAATGTCTTGTGAAGTAAAAAGCTGCGTGTTTGTAAGGAACAAATGCAACATAGTTTTATCTTTAAACCATTGCTTTTGGCCAAAATGTGAGTCATTAAAAATGTCGATGAATTTGTTTCTTACAAACACACTGCTTTTCACTTCACAAGACGTTAATTGATGGACTGGAGTCGTATAGATTACTTGTGGATTATTGTGATGTTTTTATCAGCTGTTTGAACTCTCATTCTGACGGCACCCATTCACTGCAGAGGATTCACTGGTGAGCAAGTGATATACATCTTCGATGGCCTGAAGGAGAGTAAATTGTCAGCAAATGTTTCATTTTTAGGTGAATTACTACTTTTAAAGTCATTTAGCTTTAAGCAGTTTCCAGCATGGTACTAAATGTATTAAATATGTTATTTTAATGTAAATACATTATTAAACTAATGATATGACATAAAAAAAGCACTCATTCAATAAGTCAGAAAGGGTTCATGGACTGTCCCTTCACTTTCTGCATGAAGATCATTTCAGGAGTACCAGAAGATGTACTTGAGCAGAATACTTATGGAGTTTAATTGCTTTAAGAATTTGTTAAAACAAATTCCTCGTATGTGTAAACATACCTGGCAATAAAGCTCATTCTGATTCTGATTTATTAGGACAGAATGTTCTGAATTTGCTGGAAGGCATTTCTCTATGTTCCCATTTCTCAATCACCTTTTCAACCTGCGCTAGCTTCATGTCAACAGGCCAAGCTTTTGTATTCAGGGCCAGTCAAAATGTTCACTTTTTACATTGTCTTCGATCTGACATGCATGAAAAGAGATCTATTCTTCTTCCACTGAGAATGAAGAAATATGCAAATGACATGAAAATAATGCACAATGAAATTGAAATGGCTCACGCCTGTAACTGAGAGTGAAAGTGCGTTCAGAGTTTTCTCTCTGGAGAAATATGAATAAATTCATATTTTGCTCATTTTGCTGTGCACCGTATCTCTATGGACAGGTGTAATCTTTCTGCTGCAGCACAAGATAAAGCACAGCTGACCTGGGATCAGTCTTTGAGTGAAATTTTAAAAAAGAGACAAGCTTGCCTGCTCATTTACAGTTTTCAAATTAATGCAATAAAACATGAGTTAAAGTGATCCCCAGCCATTCTCATTATCTATCATATTCAAGCATCAGATATTGTATTACTGTAAACAAAACAACATGCATTTGCACAATGACTGATTGGACTTTTTTTTTTTACTCAAAATGTTAAAGGGACAGTCCACCCACAAATTAAAATTCTGTCATCATTTACTCACTATTTACTCATTCCAAACCAGTACGAGTTTCTTTCTTCTGTAAAACAGAAGATATTTTGAAGTATGTTGATAACCAAACAGTTTCAGTTCCTGTTTACTTCAATGTATTTTTGTCCATAAAATACTGTAAAAAGTAAATGGCAACCGAAACTGTTTAGTTACCAGCATTTTTAACAATATCTTCTTTTGTGTTCCAAAGAAGAGAAAGCCATGCAGGTTTGGAATGACATGAGGGTAAGACAACAACCCAAAAGATTTGAGCTGCTTTTGAAAGTACAGCAGATTGAAAGTATGGAAATTCAGTCTATTTGTCTTTCTTAGTTATTCTATTTGTCTTTATTTATTCTGTACACTCATAAACCCATATTATTAGTTATGTGTTTCCCCTTTCGTCTCTTTTCCAGTTTCAATAAAACCTTAACTGTACATCAGCAGGTAGATGTTTCCTTGGCAATTCAGTGCAATTTCACAACAGTGATCATATTTAGAGTGCATGCATACCAATATGCTGATAAATACCAAAAATCAGTTCATCGAAATAACCCAATTTACCCATTTACATTCATTTACATCAATAACCTGGCAATGCAAGTAAACAGCATTTACAAGACTATATTAAAAATGAGGTTATTCCCTGATGCTAACATCAAAACATAAGCATCCATGTGTTCTACTCAGAGTATTCCATTTGTTATGTGAGTAATGATGTTAAATAAAGCATTAAAAACCACAGAATATTCCAAAAATGTCAGAGGAAAATTTGCACAGACTCACTCACCTCTCATATTTGAAGTTTCTATAGCCCTATTCGCACTGGATTAGTATTATCTGTGGACCTTGTGTGATTTTGAAATTACCCCCCCACATCTAAGATGGATAAAAAGGCGCACAGGAAACAAAAACCTCGAAAAATGATATACGACCCGTCAAATGCTGGCCGAATCACAGAGATGCCGATTCGCACGGGACTAATATTATCACAGCACTTCGGTGTTCGGCGAAATATGGTAGGTCATTTGTTAGGGAATTTTTACTTTACAAATTACAGACATGGCCGATTCGCACGGGATTAAGATCACAGACAACCTCCGCAATTATTACAAATGACTGGAGGTCACCAGGTAATACTAATCCCGTGCGAATAGGGCTTATGACTGTACTAATGTCCTATGGCTGCACAAGATGAGCACTTTTTTCGCATTTCTTGGGTCAAAGTCAGAGTTTGAGATATATTCTCTTCTTCTCTACTACAAAACACTCTGGATGCACTTACTATTGCCATAAGCATGGTTTCCTGTCAAATATTACACATGCACACTTCAATAAACCGACAGAACTTAGGTTAAGGTGTTTACATGCCGAAATCGGGGCAAAAATCTAGCTAAAAAGTTGATAAAGGAAAACGATCTCTATTTTTCTCTCTGAAAATTGACCTCTACTGTTGGTTTGAAAATGGTTATTGAAGGGGTCATATGATGCGATTTCAATTTTTCCTTTCTCTTTGAAGTGTTACAAGCTCTTGGTGCATAAAAAAGATCTGTAAAGTTGCAAAGACTAAAGTCCCAAATCCAAAGAGATATTCTTTATAAAAGTTAAGAGTCAACCACACCTACCTAAAGCGGTTCGTTCTAACATGCCCCCACATGTCTACGTTTCGTTGTGAAAGCAAAACTACTTTGTTTGGCCTTCCAAAAGAGGACGATATTCGCTTCGTCATGCCTAGAGCTGATCCGTGCTGGTCGCTGAGGAAATACATCAACTTCACGCTGTGGATCGCCGAATCGGCTTTCACCGTGGACGAAGCGGAGTCCGATACAACGCGTAAAAAGACAGTATATGTCATTATAATCCGTAACTATGTCCCCACTGGATGCAACAAATGCTTCATTTATAATGGCTTTTATTGTTTTTGTCTCGTCACTCCGGCCTTATGTGGAAAATAATGTGTTTTTTGAACCTTAAACCGCATAAACACATTTCATTACACCAAATACACATAATAATGTTCTTTTTAGCAACATCATATGACCCCTTTAAGATAAAATCAACATGACAGACGCATGTTAAGAAGGTCAAGAAACGGCACCTAATTGCAACGTCGATTAAACGGGTGAAAGAAAAGAAACAGAGTGACTTTGTAACAGTCTTGTTCGGACTTACCTGTGAGAGCTCACTGCTGTCAACTCTTCCATTACCATCTGCGTCAAAGCGCTTGAACATCATGTCCACCAGATGTTTCCTAGTTGCCATATCGTTCTCGTGGCTGCCATGGTTACCGGGGGTCAAGTACCTCTGAGCATGTAAGTCCAACATCTCGGTCTTCAATTTTTTATAATCTCCCAGATGACAGTTATCATCTGCGAAGTGTTGGAGAGAAATGCTGGTCAGATCAGTGTATATGGAGATTCGCTGTTCTGCAGCATTACTAATTCATCAATAGTGTGACAATATGAAGCCCATTTCAAAAATGGCCATATGAGGAATCTAACAGGTCTGATATGTAAATAAATGCTGGGAATTTGCAGATCTTGTGGCTCTCACAAGAAGAATCAAAAGAAATAAATGTTTTTGTTTTACTGTATGCATCATATTTGATACATCAGACTATTAGTGATTGTTTAAGAAAATAAACACACACACACACACACACACACACATGCACACACAATGTATTATATGCTACTTATTTTTTATCTAAAGAAAATAGGGTTTCAATGATGACTAATACCAGGTTATAAATAAATAATACAAATATTCAATAAAATTACTATGTTTAGTCTGTTTTTTTTTTTTTAATATCTGCAAGATGCAAGATTTTTACCTGTGATTGCCTGTGGTCGAACAACAGTTGTATTAATATTAAAATAAAAAAACAAACGGCCATCATATATTTCATACAACAGTTCAATATATATGAAGTTAATATTACTGTAAGTAACTTACATTTTTGACACAATATTGCCATTAGTTCCAAACAAAGCCACAGCAGAACAGTTGCATGTCTCCAAACAACACACAGTTGGGTAATTTCTTTCTGAATGATTCAGCGTTTGAACGAATGATTCAGTGAATCACTAATAACAGTCAAGCGTTTCATTCCTGAATGAATCAGCGTTTTAAACAAATCTTTTCAACGAATGATTCACTTATGAAGACAGTAACTTGCCGTCACCCACTGACGTAACTATGCGATGCTATGTTTAATTTTAGATGATTTTCCTTAATATCAAAAGAACAAAACACATACATTAATGACAGAACATTTGATGATAAAAACTCTTATTTTATTTGGACAATCATTACGCCGATCAAAAAATGACAAAAAACTACAATGCTGTCGTGACAGTGCTAATGGGCTGCAGAAAAAAAATGCTCTGTGTTATGCAAACATGGCAGAGGAGGACAGACTCTGTACATTACTCTAGCAATCATGTCAGAGAAAGCGCTGGAAAGGTGTTAGGGATGGACTTGAAACAGTTGCTGGAAACAACGGCTGGGAAGGCTTGTCAAAAAGCATTTGACAATATTTGAGATGTTTTCGTCATTATATGTAGTTCAGGTGGTGCAGTATGGCTTCTTGTGAGAATACCGATGTTGTTTCTGGAGCATAAGAGATGGATAATGAAAGGCAGAATCAGAAATGAAAGCTAGAGAGGGAGAAGGAAGGAGGTTGAGGAAAAGCAGCTGGTTTTAAAGACTGTCAGGCTAGATTCACTGACAGATGTCAAGTCAGTCACAGCTCATCTCCACATGACTGCACCACTAACTGCAATGTGTGTGTGATTTACTGAGATGTATGAATAAATATATGTGTCTGAGCCTGCTGTGTGTATGTGTGCTGATCAGCTATAGCGTGCCACACATCACAAAATGGCCTCTAATTTGACAAGCCACCGTGGCAGGAAAGCTTCCTTCCTTAGAAATGGCAGAATGAATAAAAGATAAATGGCTCTCTACCGTCTACCTTGCCCAGAGGAGATGAAGGTCAGTGTCGTCAAACCTGTGTGTGTGTGTGTACGTTTGCACACACGGCACATTAGCATTCATTTTTTGGCATGGTGGCAAATGAAGAACTGCATGTCTTCTATCATATTCCAGAACTGCAGATGTGTGACTTAGGGAATATATTTATACGGCATTATCCACCTGATATTTGACAGCTGTACAGTTCCCAGCAATGTTGCAACCGTGCAGAAGGAAAACTCTAAAATGTGTGGAAAGCTGGAGATTTCTTGAATCAGAGCTACATTAATGAGCTGCGTTTCAACAGGAGCCCATCTGCCTGTGCATTGATTTTCAGTGTGGACTGAAACTGTGAGTCTTGTATATAGATATCTTGTATGTAGAAATACGCACCAAATATTAATTTGCAGTACAGAGATATTATAGTAACACAACAGGGAGTTGAAAAAATAATGACTTGAAAATGAAAAAAAAGAAAAGAAAATGAAACCCACAGAGCCCATGCAATACTTTTTTTGTTTTTTGGTCTTTTGTTTTATAAAGTATAAAACATAAAAATGTTATGTAATATAAAATGTATAAAATTTTTATACTACATTACCTAAATAAATTGTAAAAAAAAAAAAAATCTAATAATAATAACAATAATGATCATAATAAAATTGTTTATTTTAAATGTTACAAGTGAATCTAGGCCTCACAGCTTTTAAATGTACAGTATGAAAATTAATGTTCATTTTGAGATTTCCTCAAGATTATATTTAACAGTGTTATGAAAGCATTTGTGTTTTTAAAGATTAACTTTAGGTGAGTGTTAGATGATGGCAAAAGTAATATAAATAAAAAAAATAAATGAACATCCACAATTAATATTTATCAATATTGATAAAAAAAAAAAAAAACAGCCCTCTAACATAGCTGATAACCGACAGGGTAGTGATACAGCACATCCCTAATATATAATATATAATAAATCATAAAAAGTCCACAATAATCTCTCCAAGATGGCTCCTACAATCATTAGTAATTAATTTAGTTAAATTAAGATTTTTGCTCTGACCGGCAGTTGCATTTGTGAACGTGGGCGATTGGAAAAACACAAGTGCTGTCATCATGACATTCAACATGTTTTCAGTCCTCTGTGCATGAGAATGTGCATCTTTTTATGATATATGTTACATTATGCTCCATTTCTCAATATATGTGACCCTGGACCACAAAACCAGTCATAAGGGTCAATTTTTCGAAACTGAGATTTATACATCATCTGAAAGCTGAATAAATAAGCATATTTGGCTGAGATACAACTATTTGAAAATCTGTAATCTGAGGATGCAAAAAAATCAAAATATTGAGAAAATCGCCTTTAAAGTTGTCCAAATGAAGTTCTTAAATGCATATTACTAATCAATTTTTTTTTTAAAGGGGTCATATGATGCGATTTCAATTTTTCCTTTCTTTTTGGAGTGTTACAAGCTCTTGGTGCATAAAGAAGGTCTGTAAAGTTGCAAAGACTAAAGTCTCAAACCCAAAGAGATATTCTTTATAGAAGTTAAGACTGGTTCACACTCTCCTAAAACGGCTTGTTTAAACACGCCCCCACATGTCTACGTCACGATGTGGGAAGATTTGCATAACGCCGCCCAAATGTTCACGCAAAGAAAGAAGGTGTAACATTATTGTTGCTGCCACCGTCGCCGCCATGTTATGAAGACGCTGTGTGGTTCGTTGCGAAAGCGAAACTACTTTGTTTGGCCTTCCAAAAGAGGACACGACTAGAAATCAGTGGTTAAGTTGTATTTACAACACTGTTCCAGAACAGTTCAACCCAAATATTCATGACTAACGTGACCTGCCAGAACTAATGCTACGCTAGATTTATGTCCCCACTGGATGCAACAAATGTCTCGTTTATAATGGGTTTTAATGTTTTTGTCTCGTCGCTCCGGGACAGGGCATCACAGTATGGTAAGGGACATAACATTTCCGTCACACGCTTGAGGTATTCAGCCAATCACAATGCACTGGATAGCTGGCCAATCAGAGCACACCTCGCTTTTCAGACCGATGAGCTTTGTAAAAATCGAGGCGTTTCAGAAAGCTGGGGCATAGAGGAGAAACAATAATGTATGTGGAAAATAGTGTGTTTTTTTTAACCTTAAACCGCATAAATACATTTCATTACACCAAATACACAAAATAATGTTCTTTTTAGCAACGTCATATGACCCCTTTAATATATTTACTGTAGGAAATTTACAAAATATCTTCATGGAACATGATCTTTACTTAATATCCTAATGATTTTTGGTATAAAAGAAAAATCAATAATTTTGACCCATACAATGTATTTTTGGCTATTACTACAAATATACCCCAGCGAATTAAGACTGGTTTTGTGGTCCAGGGTCACATATGGGGTGTTTATACAGAAGGCAGTCGAAATGCCCGCCTGACAGAAATAGGTTTTACTTTATTGCTTAAATTAGAAAGAACATTGTTTCCAAGTGATCGGTCTATGCATTCTCCAAATTTCACCCACAGAGAAGCACATTTACAAAGTTCTACTATGACCTTCCTGTCTTTATTTGCTCAACCTTCATCCCTCAGAGAGTTTCTTATGGGTGAGGGCTATTAAATATATATCTGTCCTTTAATGTACAGCACAACTGAGACCTCTAGTGCTATAGAAGGTCACTGATAATGGATCCATCATGCAACTGTTTCTCATCTCATTAAACATGCGTAGGGAGTGTGTGCTAACCAGGTCCGGTGTTAGCACTCCGACCATTTCTAAAATGAACCCAGATTCAGCCTCTTCTTTGTTCCTGCATAAATGAAAGTATGACGGCATTGCTCACATAAGACACGTGCAGTTGATGGTCGTGAACCGCGGCGCAGCAGCTAAAAGCGTGCCACGGCTGGTCGCCCATCCTGATGGGAATTCTGGTCATCATTTTACTTTGCAAAAGTCAGGAGCTGTGACAAACAAGTTTGTGATGGGCAATTCAAGACACGCAGGCAAATTAAAGTGTTAGGCTGTGTCTAACAGACTGTGGCTAGCTGCTGATAATTAGAACAGGTGGAATCATTTAAAAGATTGAGCGCTAAGAAATGAGGTCACAGCAATATACATTAACCTAAATATAATCATGAACAGTGTATGACAGTATTAATGCTTAGACTATACACAATCTTTTATATAAAAATCAATATTATTGAATCTAATTTATATATATATATATATATAATTTATAATGTAAATGTAATTATTTATTTTACATTCTCTCTCTCTCTCTCTCTCTCTCTCTCTCTAAAACGTACTGTAAGTTTAATTAGTTTTATTTAAAAAAAATGAAAAAGAAAATACTTTTTTCCATTTTAATTTTAGTTAAAGTTGAATTTTTTTTATTGTTTTAGTTTGTTAATATAATAACTCTGGTTCAGTAAGACTTAAAAAAATTAAAACTTTTATTCAGCAAGGATGCATTAAATATCAAAAGTGACAGTAAATATATTTATAACGTTACAAAAGATTTCTATTTCAAATAAATTTCTGTGATCCTTATGTATCACAGTTACATTAAGCAGCACAACTGTTTTCAACATTAATAATTATAAGAAATGTTTGAGCATCAAATCATGATTTTTTTAAACAAGCTTTGTCAAACCTGTATTTAAATATGGTCTTGATATTTCTTGTTAAAAATAATTCAAATTCTATATCCTGTTTGCTATCTCATTTTAAATTCAGAACTTTCAGAATTTAAAAAGTATTCTCAATTCAGTTTTGAATGGCACACAACCCTTCACTTCACCGTCTGACTATGTGCCAGAGCCTCTTAAAACTGTTCAGAATATCCGTATTCTTTGACAAGCATTACACAAATGCAGCGTTAAGCACAAAGACATTTATTACAAGCCATAAAACCATTCTTAAGTGGCCTGTGTGATTTACTTTGAAGTAAAACTTGACACGTCCAGGCAGCCTAGAGGAAAAGCAGATTGATCTTTCCCTGTTTGAAATGGGTTTAGACGGCCACCTGCATTCATATCTGCATGTTTGATCCACAGCATGTGACACATGGAACCCTGATTCACTTTGAAAACCACACTGGTAAATCTAGTCAGATCAGAGGAAATTCAGTCCTGTCCGAAGGTAGGGTTAGAATGACAGCATTAATAAAAACAGCTTGAGGGACAGCTAATTAACATTAATGAGCCAATTTGATCATTTAGATCATTATGAGGGAATTATAACCTCATTAAGAAATAATAACAAAACGGGCATGCTGGTATTGATGCTGTAAGTCATTATTTTCGGTGAATATCACAGATAAAATACTATTACTCAGCTGAGATTGCTTAACAGCACCATTGATGTTACATGCTTCTTGACCTTGTCTGTCTAGCTTGATTTAAAAGGACCCAAATTGAAAATTCTTTCATCATTTACTCACCCTCGTGCAATTTGAAAACTTGCATTCTTCTGTGGAACACACACAAAAAAAGAGACTTCAAAAGTTTCAACTGTATTTGTCTATACATTGAAAGCAAATGAAGTCACAAACAACATTGGATCCCACTGACTTTCACTGTATGGACAAAACAACATTATGACATTTTTCAAAATAAAAGTTTCACAGAACAAAGGCAAGCATTACGGTTTGGAATAGCTTGAGGTCGAGTAATTATTTTTGGAAGAACTATCCCTTTTAAAACTAGTTGACCAGTATTCTTTCTTGGGTGTAATTAAATAATCTCTCACACTCATTTCAGTAAGAAACAGGCCTTTTTATTTGTAACATATTTGAGCTAATAATAATAATGATACGATACAAAATAATCTTAAATTTTTTCATAAAGTACACCTCAAATTGTGCTCATGTTTTTTTTTTTTTCTTTTTGGTCTGTATTGTGATTATTTATTAAAGCTGAAATAGGCTATAGACTGTATATCATCTAAATAAGTCATGTTATGAAGATTTTC